TTTTGTGTACCAGAAGGACTCACTTTTATCTCCATTGCTGCTTTGTCCATGCATGTCGTGTGTGTGAAGCCCCGAGTGATGGGAGCTGGTTGTGCCCATGAGTGATGTCGAAGGTCTATTGATGATTAGATGTCCTGTCAAGGGTTGTTGATTGTTTGCATGCATGTGTGTATGTACTTGTCCGGGTGGGGACGGGGAAACTGAACTGGGGGACCGTCTGCCTAGGAGTACGAGTGTGTTAATCCCGTTGTTCCCCTCCCTTCCGCAGCCCTTCGCGCGTGCGCGCGCGTCCTCCCGCCGCTTTACCCTCCCGGAACCTTCCGCGCGGACTCTGTGAGTCCGACGCTGAGGCTTGAAGGCCTCGAACCAACCACCTCTACAGCAAAGACCTGATGGGTCGGTCACTTCGTGAGGCCGACGACGAGGCCTGAAGGCTTCGAACCCACCGCCTATCCCCCAAACCCCTGACGACCGAAGTTTTGTCTCACGCCGCCATGACCCTCTCCCCTTGAGGTCTTTTCCCGTCCTGATGCACGACGACAGTTCGTTTTCGCGGAAACCCTTCTGATTTTATCGTTTCGGAGCGATCCAACCCCCACGGGACTTCGCGACGACAGTTCGACTCCGGGGTAACCTCTGGCACGAAACGAGAGCCTCCCGTTCCGTCCGGGAGACTCAACCCCTACGGCCAAAAACCCTCGGCCACGCCCCTCCTAGACTCTGATCGGCGACCCAGTACGGGAAGCCGCGAGGGGGCGTGAGGTTGGTATTAGAGCTGATTCGTTTCGGCTCCGAGGTTTTCCTAGGACGAATACCCTGCTTAAGAGTTTTCCTCTTTCTGATCTTTCTTTTTAAATTTTTCTCATTTTTGTGTAGGCTGGCTCCCCGTCGCCGGCGGCCCGCGAATAGCAATCAGAACCGAGCGAGAGGCCGGACTCGAAACCCGCCTCCCGCGATGGTGGAACCCGGGATGGGGGGTGAAAACGACGATGATAACCACGCGGGGATGGCCAATCATCCTCTGTACTTTGTACCTCCTCCCTCCGAAGTTCCCATTTTCTCCGAAGATGATACCGACCCTCGCACCTGGCTAGTTGCGTTGAAAGCCCAGGGCTGGTCGGACCAGTTGCTCCGAGAACGAATCCCCGGAAGGTTAGCCGGAACCGCTTTTGAGTGGTATGGACATAACCCCTTCACTAATTGGCTGGCCTTCCAGAGGAAATTTCTCGATAGATTTGATCACATCGCACCAGGTTAATGCCTCCGTCTAATAAAGGAATACACGCAGTAGCCTCGGGAGACCTTCGCTAGATACGCTGAACGTTTTACGTACCTAGCCGAATGCTCCGGGGTGGACGATAAAATGGTACGGACTGATTTCGTCAGAGGATTGTCAGATTCTCGCCTGCGAAAAAAGATCCGCAAGAAATGCAACCCTATAGAACATACCCTGACGGAGCTAATTCAGTACGCAATTAAGTACGAGAAACAAAATTACGATTTAGGACTGGACTCGGAATCCGACGAAGATGACCCTTCGGGTGTTCGACGCAATAGCTACTCCGCTACGGCACGAATGTTCGAAGATCGCTTCGGGTTGGGTCCGGCAAAAAAAGGCTCGGATCGGAAAGCTTCTTCCTCGGCTTCGACCTCCCACCGCTCTAGTCAAGCACAAGGAGGCCGGGGTGAGGAAGAAGTGTCCATAAAAGAGGTCGCGGCCCAATTAGTTACGGTAGTGGCCCCGCTGACGGAGTTTGTTCAGGGCCTGCACCGGCAACGCCTAGCCGCCGCACAACGGCAACAAGCGGCTATGGCCGCCGGGGCCCCTATGATAAGACCGGCCGTGGCCGGGGCTGTCCCGCACCTACGCTGTTATAACTGTAAACAGCCAGGTCACCTTGCGAAAGATTGTCCGAAACCTCGAACTCAGGGGGGGCCCACTGGGCCTTCCCAAATCCCGTTGGCTGCTCCAACCGCTGCAGGACAGGGGAGGGTGGCCACGGTGATGGATACCGGGGCAACGGAGATGGTGACCCCTGCGGCCACCGAGATAGGGCCCGATGAATACATGGCTGCGGCGATGTTCGAACTCGGGACCATAGGAGTGATACGTCACGTCCAACGGATTACCGAGGAAAGCGACCTCGGGCCGTGGCGACCAGGGTTCGAAGACATTGCGGCACCTGGTCCTGAATACAAGGATGGCCATATCGACGTATTGGATGCCTTGAAGGCTTTGGATCTTTGGATCCCAGTCCCTATTCCCTATCTGCTAACCATTTCCGAAGCGGCTAACGAAACGTTGATCGAACGATGCCTCAAAAACAGGCGCCGATTCGAGGAAAGTCGAAAGGGCAAAAAGTCGGTCCTACGGGACCTACCCATAAACGAGGATTCGCAGCCCTCGACCTCAAAGGTGCACGAAACCGACCGGATAGGAATGATCCAGACCATAGACTCTGCCTCGGAAATCCCCGAGGTATTCCTCCGAGCCTATCCTATAACCTAGGAAAGCATTGAGTGTGACTGCGAGGTCTGGGGAAATCCCTCGGCCGCCATCCTAGACTTGGGATTGTCAGCGGTCACCATTTCTTGGAGATTGACGAAACAGTTGGGAAGGGAAGGACATATTCAGCCCCTCCGACCGGATGAACTGTATATATCCGCTACGGAAGACAGTATTCATTGTAAAGGGCGAATAACGAACGTGCCTATACGGGTGGGGCGGGTGCATTGTTTGTGCGACGTAATCGTGCCGGATGTGCAGGCGTATGATGTTCTGCTAGGCATTCCGTGGCAGACGGCGGTCGGAGCGCGAATGCACTTTGACAGCTGTAAGGTGGTGCTCATATCGGCCCACCCCAAACCCCAAATGATACCAATGAAACTGGCGGTGCTCATGCGTACCCAGCCGGCGCCTCGACTCACCACGAAAGCCCATCAAATCAACATGATCCGACGCCTGTCACCAGACGAAAATGAACCCTCGACGGAAGCTGACGAGACTGATGTACCCGACCGATATCCGATCCGGGTTCAAGATCGGTGGCGCCATTCTTGGCGGCGAGAACCCTTGGAGATAGTTCGGAGCGAGTCCAATTGGTCGCACGCGTTCTCCTCCGTGGTGCAGGGGGAACCCCTGCTGAGGGTGTCCCGAATAACTGACTTTTCTGAACCCCCTGCGTCCTTATATCTCAGGATGGACCCCCTACCTGAAAGATTTACCGAGCTGAGGGGGCTGTACGATTTATCTTTTCGACCTCCACGGCCCTTACTCACGAATGAAAAAGCCGCGATACTCTTGAAAGAAGGGGTGTCGTTTCAACCCCGAACCAGGGAATATCGGTGGGGGCCGAGGGAACTAACGCAGGCCTTTTCGGTAGAACCCTCGGCCGGACCCGAACTGGACAGTGACAGTGACATGGAAAGCGAGCCGATGAGTCCGGCGGACAGTCAACTTATTGCGACTGTCCTTTCGGCGAAAACCGACAACTCTTTGTTTGGGGCCTCGCCCGATGCCAGCGCGGCGGTCCCCACGGTTACGACGACGGTCTCCCTTCCTGGGGGAACCGTAGAAGTTCAGTTACCAGCCCGTGTTCTGGATGAATACATACGCCTCCTCCTGGCGGTTATACGGGCCTATCCTGAGGCCGTCAGCATTCAGGACCACGACATAGGGCTAACCCCTTTGATACAACACGCGATTGATATCGGGGATCACGCCCCGATACATTGCCGGCCGTACCGATATTCCCTTAAAGAAAGACAGTTGGCGTTGGAAAGGGTACTGGAATTCGAGCAGTTGGGGTGGGTCGAACCATCGCTGGGGCCGTGGTCTTTTCCCGTGGTGCTCGTGCCAAAACGAAATGGTTCGGTCCGGGTATGTATCGACTACCGGAAATTGAACGCTATCACTACCAAAGATGAGTATCCCTTGCCGCGAATCGACGATTCGTTAGATGCTATCGGGGCCTCGCGAGTCTTTTCCAAGTTCGATATCCGACACGGTTTTCACCATGTCGCAGTCCGACTGGAGGACCGACCCAAAACCGCTTTTGTCCTATTTGAGGGCATGTGGCAATGGGTCTGGTATCCCATGGAAATTTGTAACGCCCCTGCAACGTTGGCCTTCGCTGAGTTCGTTAACAAAACCCGACTAACCCAGCCCTTGATCAATTTCTGCGTGATTGTGTACATGGATGATATTTTGGTCTTTTCAAAAACACACGAGTACCATGTGGAACACATTGAGTGGGTTTTGCATGCACTGAAGGATGCGGGGTTCAAAGTGGCCTTGGAGAAAAGCGAGTTCTTCTTGTCAGAGATCTCATTCTTGGGGTACATCGTCACAGTCGATGGACTAAGACCGGATCCGAGGAAGGTGGCAGCAGTTCATGAAGCCCCGGCGTCGATCACACTCACCCAGGTTCGGGCTTTCCTAGGGCTGGCATCCTATTACCGACGCTTCATCAAGGGGTTCGCCGGTATAGCGAAGCCCCTCACGAACCTGCCGAAGAAAGAGGAACAGCTGATCTGGACGCCGGAATGTGAAGTGGCGTTTCAGGCGTTGAAGGAGGCTCTGACATCTGCTCCTGTGTTGGCGCGTCCCGATCCGACAAGACCATTGGCACTGTACACGGACTGGCAGCCTCAGGCCATATCGGCGGTGATGACTCAGCACGGGGCGGACGGAAGGGAACACGTCATTGAGTATGCGTCAAAGACGCAGAGGCAGGCGCAAGCTAATTACGAAGCGTGCAAAGGCGAATGCCTGGCGGTAGTGTGGGGGATCCATCATTTCCGACCGTATCTTTACGACCAGAAATTCGTGCTGGTCACGGATCATCAGCCGCTGCTGTCCCTACGCAAGACTACACGGCGACCGATGGATTGATGCGCCTCCTGCCACCCAACAAGTGTCCCGCAAACGAGTGACTCATTCCGTGGAGGCCAGAAGTCGTGGCGACGAAGCCGCACTACGGGGAGCTACACGTGCTGCGCAAGAACGACGCTTGAGTCCGGAATGGAGGTTTCTCCAGAGATGGCAGACGCTATCTCTTTGCCCTCATCCAACTCCCTCGCTCTCTCGTCTAGTCCCTACTCGTCCCCTGAAACACATCTAAGTCCCTGTTTCTTCTGTACCTTGCCTATGGTTCCGGACCAAGAAGGGTCACATCCGGGAGGGCCCAGTTTTCTTTTGTGGGTGTAGTGTAGTCGGGGTCAAGCGGTCAAGTCCCACGGACAATGCGTTAGGTACCGAAGTGAAAAGACGTGGGTCTGTCCCAACTGTAGAACGGACCAAGTCCCTACCGAGAAACGGTATCTGGATGCACGAACAGCCGACGGATTTGCGCCAAGTGTCCGCCGGGCGGAAGTCTGGACGGACCTTCTGTTGCTACGGAGGCTGTCACGCGACTCGCTGTCAGAACTTACCAAAGCCGAGCGGCGGAGAGTCACGGAGCGGGCGCAGGACTATCGCTGGCAGGGATCGACGTTACAAAAATGGAAAGTCGATGAAGACGGAGGGACTAGCTGGTTGACGGTTCCGCACCCTTTCGCTAGGTTCGATTGGACACGAGCCGCTCATGAAGAGGATGCGGTCCATTTCGCGGTCAAGTACACGAAAAAAGCCATCGAAAAGAACGGATGGTACTGATCGGGAATTCAGGAAGATGTGAAATACACCGTCCAGAATTGCCCGGCCTGCGCGGCGGACAAGGCGCCGGTACAGATGCCTCGGACGATGGTGCCCACTCGGGTAGAGCGCCCCTTTCAGAGAGTTAGCATCGACACGACGTATATCAATGTCCGAGAGGTCCCGTCGATCAGGGAGAGCTCAATGTTCTTTTAGTGGCCGTCGATCATTTTTCGAAATGGATAGAGGCGTACCCTATGACCAGCCGGAATTCGCAAGAAGTAGCCTGGTACGTAAATCGATTTTTGTGCATGCATCTAGACGTAGAAGAGGTACACATGGACAATGGGTCGGAATTTCAAGGCGAAGTAGAACGTCACCTAGTCAGGGCGGACGTTAAGATTATCTACTCGTCGGGGYATTGGCCTCWAGCCAATGGCCTGGTAGAGAATGCCAACCGACTGATTAAGACCGCCCTTAGATGGAATATCACCGCGGGAGATACCCGGTCCTGGCCAATCATTGTCGACCACATCTTGGTCATTTATCGGGCTACCCCACACGGTAGTACTGGGGTGTCCCCCTTTCAATTGAGAACCAATGGTGTCCCTCGGGTGCAATTGTCCCCCTTAGTAGGTATGAAAGTTAGAGCAACACGGACCAAAAACCGAGATAAGGCCCGCCACTACATGGACTTAATGGCTAGGGCCTACCCCCCGTTAGCTCGCCGTCGACAGCAGGCTGTAGATTGGACACATCAACGGCAGATCCGTGACTACGAGAATCGACACGCGTCGGTGGGACCACTGCCCCGCTATAAAGTTGGGGACTTGGTGCAGGTACGAAAATCTGCACGCTCCTCCAAGATCCACCCGCGCTACACAGGCATTTACGAGGTCACGGAAGTTGGCGCACAGGGACAGCACTCCGTGAAGCTGATTCCCCATCACAACTCCCAGGCCCGACCGCTGACACGGCACGCTGCCGCACTCCGGCCCTTTCAGCCATCGGTAGGTCCCCTACATGCTCCCGTTCCGGTGAGATCACCCTCTCCTTCTTCCTCCTCCTCCTCTTCCCGATCTGCCTCGTCCATTGGTACTGAGAGTTTCAGGGAGCAGGATGAACCATTGCCAGCCGGAGCATGAGCCCCTCGAGCATTTCCAGACGCCGCTTGCAGATCGCTTGTTGAGGCATCGGTTCAATGACAAAAGGCAGTTGCGGTACGACATTCAGCAGGTGAACGTGCCAGCGCCCGGGGTTGCTGATTTGGCGGCGTACTCGTTGCTTTGCGATCGGCTGACGTATGCGGGGGTGTACGTGGACGTGACGCAGTTGCCTGGTCGGGAGACGACTCGAGTCTTCATTGAGTTCCGCGCGCTCCAGGTGGCACCCAACTTCGTGCACAGCGTCGCCACCTTTATTGGCGACTTGACGATCCTACTGCAGCCGAATCGGGAGCCGGCGCGAAGCTTTGTGCGCGAATACTCGGTGGAAGCGGCCAGATCAGTGGCCAGATTGCAAGGCCGGGGGGAGCACCGATTCACAGCCCACGAAGTATTGCTGCGCAGGGCAGAGGACGGACCCATTGCGTTGGTGCCACAGCTCCCCGCGCTTCTTCCTCCCGCTGCTCCTCTCAACTTCCAAGCTATTCCCCCTATCTTGTACTAAATGCCTCCCTTCTTCTCTTACACCACCCTCCCCTATCAGCTCACGGAGGGCCCTTATCCCATGCGCGAGTTCTCGGAGTATTTGGTGGAGCTTACTGACGTGGAGCCGCTGCCCTTCGCCGACGAAGACGCGTGGGAGTTGCACCGTGCACTGTACAAGTCGGTGGCGCTGGGGATGTTCCGGTTCTTCATGGATCACGAAGACCACTGCATCGGGGAGCACTTCGTCGTCTACTATGTCATCACACGGCCCAAGCCAGCGGAGAAGGAAGGGACGGTGGCACTGTACCCATTCGCCCAGCTCCAGACGATCGATCCGGGATTGCTGGAGCTCATACATCTTGAGCTCCTCTCCATTGCGCAAGTGATCGCGAGCGAGGAGGAGGAGATCCAACCACGATTGCGGACGGCGACGGCCCCACGAAGAACGTACAACGCGCTCGTCATCCCGGATTACATTGCGCAGCGCGAGGAGAGATTGGAGGACTTTCCGGAGGAAAAACCGTTGCGGCCTCCCTCGTTGTATCTGCGACCGGCGCCCCCGAAGGCCCCCAAGAAGACGCCGAAGAGGAAGAGACGCCACCCGTCGCCAGGAGCGCAAGGCAGCAGGATCGGCGGCGGCGAGGAGGTGATTCAGCCCGCGCGTACGCAGAATCCTGACCCCGTGCCTGGGAGTGCGGCGACGCTCGTTAAGGAGACTGTCGTGCCATCGCCGCCCTTTCCGCGTGTGCCCGATCTCAATCTTGATGGAGCCAGGCCATCATCATCAGCAGCAGCCAGAGGAGGAAGCCGAATGGCATTTTCGGATCCCATATCCAGTCCCCCCGTCCTCGCGGGACCTCTCCGTTCCCGCCAGCCACCCCGAGGTGCCCCGGTCATTGACATTAGTAGTTCCTCCGAGCCGGACGGTCCATCCGACAGAGGTGGACTTCATGGTGGAGCCCGCCACCATCAGGCTGGAGGCCATCGCGGGGGCGCCGCGCCCTGATCCGGCCTGGGGACCATATCTGACACCCCCTTTTCAAGGGTGTATTGCGGCGCGACTGATTGGGACGCTCATCTATGAGACCAGGCAGCGTCCCAATGTGAAGTACCACTTCCTTGTCTTCGCGGCGCAGAAGCGGGAACGGCGGCCTTACACCGAGACTCATGTGGTGATGACGGGTCCAGGGCCCCGATCGGTGCGCAAGCGGGTGGTGCGAGCGGTGGCGGATCTGGCGCCACGTGTCCTGTCTCATGTGCCGAGGGCCTTCCTCTATCCCTCGTTCGTCCAGCACCACTTCCAGGAGGAAGATGCGCCGACGACTCCCGCGACAATGGCCGCTTTTCTTCCACCTATTCCGCCCCTTCTCAATCCCGCCATCGATCACTTCCTCTGATCACCCTCGCCTACCTCTCCCAGCTTCTCTCCTTCTCCTTCTCTTCATCATCTTCTCTTATGCCCAAAGTTCGTGCATCGAGACGCGCTATACCAGAAGAAAAAAAAAAAAAATATATATATATATTTTTTTGAGAACTACTTACCGATCGGGCAAGCTGACGATGAAGGGGCCGCCTGATCGGATGTATACTATGGGAGGAGGAGATGGAGGATGCAATATGCATCCACATAGATTAGGAAGATGACCGGGCCAGAAGACGATGAAGAGGCCGCCCGATCATCCAAGATATGATGACATCAGCATTCGGGCGACAGCTAATTTTTTGGAACCCCCTGCGTATCACAAATGTGATAAGCTCAGATCCGTACCGCGCGGCTTGCCGTATCCCTGAGGTAAAATTCCGCGGAAGCCCCGAGGCACGGATGCGGACAAACAGGGGT